TAAAAGAAATCATGCTAACAAATTCTGCTTCGCCAGAGTTTTCGGGATAATAATTAACTGCAATATATACGAACCCGAGATAACTCGGGATAATCAGGCAAGTGGTTAAAAATGGTTCACCTTAAAATGCGCAGATGCATCACCCATCACACTAAGCTCATTCTCCATGCATGTGTGGGTTGCCTGACTGTGAAAGAAGTTTGTGGGCAATGCGTATATGTGATGCCTGTCTCGAAAGGGTTAAATGACAAAAGTTTGTTGATTAAAACTGAAAGATAAATATACAGTCAAAAGTCTTTAATCCGGACCTCCAAGCTACAAACTTTCTGCGCATGCATAAACACATAATGCGTCTACGCATGCACATAATACCTTTACGCACGCTCATATGTGTTTACGCATGCGCATAATACGCTTACGCATGCACGTTTAATGTATAACGGACGGTATAAAGGATCTACAAAGCGAAAGCATGTTTTGATGTCCATCAAACAAAAATTGGATAAAGGGACATCCTTTGTTTTCTCTAACCATTCCGAAATCTGTTTATCAATTTCACGCTGCTCTGCAGGAGGGGTGGGACGTCGCGGCACGCAATGAACTGGAAGTTTGATCTGTTATGTCACTATCCTTATCTTCAGGCCAGATGTCTTTATTTTATTCGGCTTATAATTCCTTACTAAATGTAATGTACTCCTTTGATATGATTTAAATCATATTCCTCGTCATTATAAATATCACGAATACACATGAAATAGTTTTCTGGTTGCAATTTTCTAATTTCGACTATATGTAATGTATGCTTTACGTATTCGTGCGTTGAAAGAAATGTTTAATAAAGTAAACAAATAAATATTAAGCTTTTTTTTTTTTGTAAAGTTTGATACCCTTTAGATCATAATCGCTCTTTATTTCATAAATTATGGTTTCATATTTTTAATTTTATAATTTCTGCATACCATCTTACCAGATTTAAACTGATGATCTATAATCCAGAAAAACCGATTATCCGGAATCGCCGAAGTCCCGACGAGTCCGGATTAAAGACTTTTGACTGTATTACATTTTGCAGTTTGCTGCACTGGGGAGAAAAGTGTTGTGTTTCAACCAATGTTATTACTGCTTGCTTTGAAATGAAAGAGTTTGTTAATCAAATATTCATTTAACTTGTACATAATATGAAACAAATAAAAAAAATTAAAAATTCGGGCTTTGAAGTGGAGAACTAAGTGTATTTAAAATGTGCTCACTCTAGGTACTGCTTGTTTTCTACAATGCGAGAAACATACAAACATACAGATTCTTCACTATTTAATAATAGACTTAATAACTAACCTTACACTACACTACAAATTAACAGTTTTATCACATTTAATACTGCACATATTTGATGTTTAAAGTATAAAATAAATCTGATTATGTATAAATTCATAAGAGCCCTATTCAAAACGAAAATAAATCATGTTATTTGTTGAATGAGAAACTGAGAAATGAAAGAATCAATCTGCACTTATGAGCAATATTAACCGGTGACGTGCAGAATCGGCCCACTTAGTTGGTACATTTTGTTTGGTGTTTTTTACAAGAGTATGAAGAACTGGATTTTTGTCACTTCCCTTTCGACTTTCTGGCTAATCTTTGGAATATGGTAACAGGTAGTTTGGCAACATTTTGGTAAGGCGATAAAGGTTACTAGCTAGATCTTTAGCAGTGTACATGGATAAAGTCAAGAGTGTGCGCAATGCCATTTTTCTGCAATTCTGGGATTTTTTTAAAGTGAAAATAGGTTGACGTGTACATGGATACCGTGTATGTGCAATTCTTAAAAACGCGGCAAGCAGTTTGCGATTCTCCACTTTCTCCCAATTTCGCACCTAATCTTCGTCATGATTAAGCACTTTCGTTCCATAAAAGTTCTAGCATAAGCGTAATTCGGCTAGCAGATTGTTGGAAAAAAATGTTGAGCAAAAAAAGAAAAAAAAAAATGCTTTTACTTCGTGAAAACAAAATGGCGTCCAAACAAAAACTAGCAGGTTACTGAAGCAGGGTTGGTCACCAAATTTTCACCAAAAAATTGCCAAGTTACCATAATCCAAAGATTAACCGACTTTCTTTTTAAGTGAAAATAGATCGATGTGTACATGAACAAAGTCAAAGGAGTGTGCGATGCCGAAGTTTGTGCAATTCTCCGATTTTTTTAAAGTCAAAATAGGTTGATGTGCACATGGATACTGAGTTTGTGCAATTCTTAAAAACGTTCCAAGCAGTGGGTGATTCTGTACTTTCCCCCAATATAACAGTTCTCATTGAACTAAAGACAGGAAATTCATATAAAGTCCTTAAAAACACATGTATATTTTTTTCTATAAGTTCTCGGGCATATTTACATTACCTCTCTGTTTAGATGTGATTAAAATTAATCTCACTGTAATTATTAGGATTTTTCCTAACAAGATGAAAAAGAAAAAAAAAAAAAAAAACTAGTATATGGTACAGCTTTGGTGCGATTTTGTAAATTGTCGCTAACACCAAAATGACTCATTTACTGCTCATCATCAAGCCGCGAAATCCTGTGTGCAACATACACTAGGATTAAACCAAATTTTTGGTACTATTCGGTTTTGAGGGCCATAAAAAACCGCCAAACGATAAATGATGCCAGTGCTGCCAAAAATAATTGCGGCAACCCTAATGCAAGAAAGGAAGTATAATAGTAAATAACTATCTAAAAGATTGATGTTTTAATTTAGATGAAAGGTTAATTTCACATAATAACTTTTTTATTATTATAATTTATATAAAAAAGGCTAAACATGACTGAATAGAAGTATAAGAGTAAATAACTATTTCAGTTCATTATTATAATTTATATCAAACTTGCTAAACATAACTGAATGGATGCCTGCATCTCTATTTCGTTAATGAGTTATCGCTAAAGCATATTTCATCTCATTGGTTGTTCAAAAATAATTTTCTATAATGAATGATGCCTTTTTTTTTTGAAAAAATTCTCGGTAAAGTGCAGAATCGCCCACTTACTTGTTTGCTGCTTTTTAAAAGGATAAAATCAATTTTATTTTACTTTTTAAGTGAAAATAGGTCGATGTGTACATAGATAAAGTCAAGGGTGTGTGCACAGTGCCATTTTTGTGCAATTCTGGGATTTTTTTTTTTGGAAGTGAAAATAGGTCAATGTGTACAAGGATACTGAGTATGTGCAATTCTTAAAAATGCGTCAAGCAGTGGGTGATTCTGCACTTTACCCAAAATTCTATTGCACACTTTTCGTCATGGGCAATTCCCAAATTGTTAAATCCATAGGATATCAAAAAAGGATTTAAAAATTAAACTAGTATTTCAATTGCATGTTAAGAAATATAGAACTATGTAAACTTACGCAATCTGAAATCAGTGCGTACGCTAGATTTGGCGCGCTGTTAAATGGACGCTTTTGCATATACATTTTCGCAGCAATTTTTTTATGGTCCTCAAAACGGAATAGTACCAAATTTTTAAATATAAAAATAAATCCAACCACCTAATCTTACTCAGAAATTTTCATTTGATAATGAAAAAAATTCTCTAAAAGTAATTTCTTTAACCTTAGTTAATAGTTAGAAAGTAAATATCCAGTCAAGCCAATTGTAAAATGCTGCATTAAAGAAATACAAAGTACACTGGCCAGCCAGTACCCGACTAATGATGGGCACAGGTTCGAATTGCGGAGAAGGTATGGTTGTAACTGTCCATCCCTTCATAGGAGGCAATTGTGGCCACCTATTGGGTGCTTCCATAATGAAATGGACACAGGGCTAATGGCTATTAAATAAAGCACCCAACCATTAAAAAAAAAATTACGGTAAAAGTTTACAATTGGGTGCCGCTTGTTTTTTGGCGATTTTTTTTTGACGCCAAGATCGGCACCAGGAAGACACAATTTCAAGACGGCTGCTACACAAAACCAAAATAAGAAGTCAAAGAATTGCACAAACTCTGTGGCCATGTGTACATCGATCTGTTTTCACTTGAAAAAACATCCTAGAATTGCACAAACCAGGCATTGCGCACTGCCTTAAATTTATCCATGTACACATCAATCTATTTTCATTTAAATAAAATCAGGAAGCTAAAACAAAGTTAAAACTATCATGGTAACCAGAAGTGAGGTTTCATCGCCAAAATTTTTAAAAAATTGTCGCTAATCGAAGGGGCACCCAATTCTACACTAGAGCCAAAAATATTGTACATGAAACACATCTGTACATATATTTTCAATAGACTGTGAATTTTATCATAATTTGCATTTTCTGAAATGTGCCACTTTTGTTCCCTATTAAAGGAAAGGCTCAAATGCATACACAATGAAGCAATATGTGCCGTGCCCACTTATATAAAATCTTTGTATTCTCAGATTAATGCAATTAAAATATAGCATAAACAAGTATACTGCTTCAAATACAAAAAGCACAATAAAACCCACAAATTCTGGATATTATACAAAATCAAAAAAAATTATGTCACAGTAAATAAATGGAAAACAAAACAAATCCAGATTTTAGTAATCAGATGAATTACAAAGCTAAGAATTCTGCCACAGAATACAATTAATACCAAAACTTAAATGAGTCAAATGTTTAGATCACTACAAACATTATAAAAATAATTAAAATAAATTATACAATATAACAGAGATTAAATCTTAATTGAATCAAACTTAGAAGCCCATTAGAACTACCAGAAAAGTTAAAAATTACGTTTTACAATAAATGTGCACACAGTTTTAAGTTCAGATAATATGAAACATTGCAAAAATTATTATATTAAAACCATTACTTCGACTAAGTAAATTTTAAAATTTTAAGATGAAATATAAATTTTGAAATTAAGAAAAATGACACTGGTAGAGAAAATTACTCGATAAACACACTAAATAAACATTTAAGGAACAATCGAAAGTAAGAACCAAGAACATGTTCCATGCTTGATATAACTTCACATACCGCGGGTAAATGTTTATAATATAACAACGAAACCAAGTATGTCCGTTTATCCTTTAACGGCACTGATGGGTCAAGAACTTTCTCAGCCAAGGCATACATGCCTTTTCCTAAAAGTTAATTCTTTTTAAATTAATAAATAACAAACACTCTTTCAGAGACGCCAGGTTTACAACGATTTCTCTAACAATTTTTTTTATTACTTTTATCGTTCACGATTAAAGTTACAGTTTAGGTTACTCTGAGAAAAAGTAACTGTTTCTCACTTTATAAATAATTACTGAAATAACACCAAAATTTAAGTGACAATTTTTTTAAATAATATAATTAACTAAATACAATCTAGAAAGGTTCGGATTTTGTCGTCACCCGAAAAGGTCTTTTTTCAATTAAGTTTTATATGTTTTCGCTAGTATCACACACTCCTCTTGACTATTCCTTACTATTATTCCTGTAATATGGAAAATAATAATTTTCGTTGGTTGCTTCAAGAGCTATGAACCTTTCTATCACGTGGCATTCTGAAAAGTGTTTTAAGTAAATTCATCACTGCATGCTATGCCGATGACAAGGCACTTTTATGTCACTCAATCCATATCGTGCAAGAAACAAACTACAGAATGTCATTGATTACATTTCACTCTGGTTCAAAAGGATGGAATATAAAAATTAACCCCGAAAAATCAAAAGTGATTTACTTTACAAAAGGAAATATCCCTCAAGACTTAGAAAAAATTAAGATGACCGGACAAATCGTGTCACGTGACCACCAAGTAAAATATCTAGGTGAAGAGTGAGTGAGTGAGTTTTTTGGCGCAAAAAGCAATGATGATTATGATGCGCCAAACAAATGGTGGGATGACCTAATTTAGAAATGAAATACTTATTAATAAAAATTATTAAAAAGCTACATGTACCAAATCCAGAGGATGGAGTCATATAAATAACCTGGTAAAAGCACACATTAAAATACAATACAAAATCTGCTGAACAGATTACATTAAATAATAAAAGACAGTCTCTTTTAAATAATAAAAAAAATTACAATTGACCTCTCTTCCGATTAAACGGTCGAGAGATAAGTCACAGCTATTAAAATATTTCTGACGAAGACTGTTAAAACAGGGACACTCAATTAAAATGAGACAAACATTACAATTTGAACAAACAGGCTCATTCTCAGCTTCTAAAAGGTAGTTATGTGTCACTCTAGTGTGACCAATTCTGAGGCGAGTCAAAAGAACTTCCTCCTTACGATTTCTAGTTAATTCCCAATGCTCAATTCTAGGCTTTACATGTCTTAACTTGTTTTGAAGCTGAACATCCCAAAGTTGCTGCCATTCTTTTCGGATCTCCGCTTTGACTACACACAGAGTCTCCAAAGGATAGGCGATGGCAATCAAAGAAATTCGCTGGATCTGCAGCTCATCCTTTATCCCCCCTGGGGAACCAGCGTAAGGAATCCACACGACCGTTAATTATTGAACTCAGAATATCACTATACGATTTGGTAGGAAAAGAGATTAACCCTTTGCGGCATGGTGGGTCAATATATGTCCCACCTAATTAATATTTATTTTCTCAGTTAGCAATTTCCGTTAGAAATTTTCTAATCTTTTAAAAATAATCTATTTTAGTTATTATTTTTTTTCAGTAGATGTTACTACTATACCAGGGCTTAAGTTTATAAGCAAAAAATATTCAAAATAGGATCACAAGAGTGATATCCATGTATCTCGCATTTTTCAATATTTTAAAAATTTTGGTATACAATTTATGATATGTATGATTCTTTTTAATATTCAAAGGTATTTTATTTTCAAAAATCTTAATTGGATTCAATATTTTATAACATTAATTTTGCAGTTGAAATAAGTGGGTTAAAATTTGTCCCACCACACACTTGAATTTCCGCTCAATAGATGGCAGCACTCACGATTATTTTTTCTTTTCTTTTTTGCATCTACTTTTTTCGTGATTGCGCGCGCTTTTACATCCGTTGTATGCTCTGATGTGCTAAAATGTCTAGAAAAAAATTAACAACTCAGGAAGCTTTGGATCTTTTTGCTGAATTGCCATCCGATTGCGACTCAAATGCTTCAGATGTCAGTTCTGATTCAGATGAAATTGAAATCCAGGAGAGAATAACTGAGGTTGAAGTTATTGCTGAAGAAGAAAGGGAAGTAGTTATAATTTGTTTCGCTTTTTAAAGACACAGACCCATCTATGCATGTGGCACTGTAAATATGAATCGGAAGTATCTACCCAAAAATTTAAAAGACAAATTTATGTCAAGAGAATATATAGACTTTTCAGTTAGCGATGATTCAATTTATTGCATAAAATGGAAGGATAAAAGATCCGTTTCTATCCTGTCTTGCTTGGAAAAGGCAACTGAAATGAAAGAAATTAATAGAAAAGAACGAGATGGAAAGACAAAAAAAAAAAAAAAAAAAGTACTGTGCCCAAACAGCATTATTTCATACAATAAGAATATGGGATATGTCGACTGATTGATCAACTGAAAGGACTATATGAAATAGACCGCAAAAGCAAGAAATGGTGGCACATGATTTTTTTTTTTTTTTACTTTTTAGATGCGAGTATAGTAAACGCACATTTATTCAAGTTTGTTCGCGAACCTGATCATGATGTAAAAACAATGAAAGATTTTCTTCTCTCAGTTATAGAAGGTCTAATGGCACTTGCAGGCAAGAAAGAGCTGAAAAGAAAACTGAAATCCCCAGTTCAAATAAAAAACTAAAAACCCGTTCGTACAACCAGAAAAGAGACTAAAAAATGTAAGTAAAACGCCAAAGAGAACGAGCAGGAGAAGATGTGCATATTGCAGCACATCGAAAGAAGAACGACGAACATTTTGGATGTGTGAAACATGTGAAGTGCCTCTATGCTTACAAAAGAATGAAACAACATGTTTTTCAAAGTTTCATGAAAAATGACTTTTTTTCAATTTTAATCATATATAAATGTTTTTGAATCAAGTGCCAATTTTAATATTTTATTTAGTATCATATGTACGAGTATCAAATTTTAATCTTAAAATAATATTCAAGAAAATATTTTCTTTTGTTCCTAAAATTTAAAAATATTAAATATATACTATATGCAAAATGTGCATATGCAAAATTTTACAAGTCATGCATATATGCAATAAGTACAAAATGCATTTTAGTGTGTTTATTATGAATATTTTAGAATGCACGCTTTATTTTGTTTATTCATTCCACATATGATTTTTTTTCCTGCTATACACCAATATGCTATAAGACATGTGCTAGTTGCATGGTGGGACAAACGGTATCCCACCTTCCACCGTAAAAAATAAAAGCGCAGAATTTTTTTCAAGCCTTAAAGGCACTTAAGTAAGTCCATCTGACTTATTCTAAGGCATTTTTTTAAAGATTAAAATGTATTTTAAATATGCGTGTCGCAAAGGGTTAAGTGCTATGAGGTTTCGCAGAGTAGGATATCTACGAAAAATACCCCATGCGTTTTTCATTTTTTTCATTGCTTCATGACAGTCGCGATTCCACCATGGTTTCGAATATTTTAGTATTTTTCCTGATGTTCTAGGAATGGAAAGCATAGCTGCCTGAATAATAGTATTAGTAACAGCTTCAACAGCATCATCGATATGCGCATCTTCTACCATTTCATCTGTCAGCTCTGCAACGGAAGAGAAAAGTTCCCAGTCTGCCCTGTCCAGTATAAACCGAGGGAGTCTCGACATGGGGTTTGCTCCTCTTCGTGCAAGAGACACAAAAATGGGATAATGATCGCTGTTGTACAGATCATTTCCGACACTAAAAGTGCAAAATGGCAACAGAGATGGTGAACAGATGGCAAGGTCGAGAGCGTGGAATGTCCTTGAAGGCTCATGGAAGTAAGTATCCTGCCCATTATTCAGGAGACAAAGGCTATGATCTTCGATCATCTGCTCTATTTGTCTTCCGCGGGAATTTGCATCTTTACTACCCCAGAGCGGACTATGGCCGTTAAAATCTCCTATTATGATGAAAAGGCTCAGGCAGCTGCTCTATAAGATTATTTAAATCTTGCTGATAAATGTGCTCATTTGGAGGCAAATACAGAGAAACAAATGAAACAACAATATCAAAATTTATTTGAGTAGCGACAACTTGGAGGGATGTCGTCAAAGAAAGTACATTTGAGGGATAATCCAGTGAGGTGAGGAGACCTACACCTCCACTGGCACGCTCACCTGCAAGGTTATCCTTCCTGACGAAAGAAAACCTCCGAAGTTTTGCATGCTGTTCTGGTTTCAGATTTGTTTCCTGTATTGCTAAGCACACAGGATGATACGCATTTATTATAGATTTGATGTCAAGCAAATTTCGGTGGAAACCGCGACAGTTCCATGACACGAGGGTGGCCATTATGAATGGTTTTTGTTCTTTCTGTGCTGTTCTTTTGTTTTTCGTGGAAGTAGATGCCTGGGAACTTCTAGACCCTCTTCTACTTCCATAAAGTCTGAATCCGCAGATTCAG